ATAAGGAGGGGTGCCGTTGGAAAAAGGGGGGGATAAAGACCAATTACTTATGATGAGCTAGGACTCCTATTGGGCAAGCCTATTTGGAGAATGTATGTCTATATATATAGAGAGAGATGTATGTGTGTACATAGCGGCCTTCTGCCCACCCTGCCACCGTGCCTTGGGTCGTAAGGCCGAGGCTCTTTGGATGCCTGTTGCGAGGTGTTTCGCGAGGTGTTTCGCGTTGTGTCGCGTGGAGGAGTCCTCATGGATGCCTGTTGGGTATTTGGGGAGGCTGCTCGGGGTCCTCTTGGAGGCAGGTTTGAAGCCTCTTTGAGGCCGCTCTGGAGCCTCTTGGGGGGCCCTCGAGACCTCCAGGACGCCTGCTGGCGGTTTCGGAGGTCCTCTTGAGACGGAGGGCTCGAGATACCAGTTCGTGTTTCCCCTCGTGGATCCTTCCTGGGGCAATCTTAAGGTCCTCTTGGGCCGTCCTGGAACCTTCTTGGGCCGTCTTTGGGTGCTCTTGAAAGCCTCTTGGTCCGTCTTGGGGCGTTGCTAGAAACCTCTTCAGCTGTCTTCGAGCGATGGAAGCTAAAAACGGCGAGAATTCGAACATCCTTCAAAACCAAAGGAAAATCAATGCATGTTGCATCTTGGCGCCCTCTTGGGGGTTTCTCTTAGAGCCATCTGGGGCAGTCTTGGGGGCCTCGTGGGCCGTCTTGGAGCCATCTCGGGCGTCTTGGAGCGCTCTCAGATTGGGGCCTTCTTGGCCAGTCATAGGGGTCCCCGGGCCTCTGGAGCGCCAAAAATACTTGAGATTCCGTGCTGGCTGCCCCCTTTAGAACAGCTACAAGACGAAACACCTATTACAGAGAACCCTCGAGCATGTGGGGAAAACACCACTTCGTGCCTCAAGGCACGGTGGATATGAGTACATAAATAAATACATGCACACATATATATGTATACACACACGTATATGAATGTATGTATGCATGTATGGATGCATAGATGTATGCATAGATGTGTGTATTTATGTATGTACGTACGTATGTATGTGTATATATGTCTATATATGCGCATGTGAATACATCATGGTCCCCGCACAATTAATTGTTTTCTAGCATATTTTGTGTGGTACAGCCTACGTGGTGCATTCTACGTGGTGCAGATGATTTAAACAAACGAGTTAACACATCCCGCGTTTGTGCAAACATCCCACCCGCCCACCCGCAAGATGGTGTGCAAAACCCATGAGGTGGCGATTGCGATGCATGCTCGGCGTTGGCTGGTGCGTCTCTGCGGTCGCGCAAACCCAAGCACGCGCGCGCAGCGGCCAGCTGGTCTGGCGCGACCGACGCGGCCGCGGTGGCGCTGATCGTTGGGCACGTACCAGCGGGCACTTCATTGCGAGTCTGCGATTTGGGCGGGCGCGGTGTGGCAACGTCGACAACGGTAGACGTTGCGGGCGAGTCCCCAACGATCTCGACGACGACGACAACGATAACGACAACACCGACGACGACGACGCCGACGCTGACGACGACGACGATGACAACGCCGACGACGACGACGCCGCCGACGACGACGACGACGACGACGACGGCGGCGACGACGGCGGCGACGACGAAAACGACGACGACGACGACGCCAACGAACACGACGACGACGACGAGGGAGGAGGGAGGACGACGACGGTGACCAACGACTAGGGAGGAGGGAAGACGACGACGACGACGACGACGACGACGGCGACGAAATAGGAGCGACAACGACGAAACGCCGACGAAGACGACGAGGGAGGAAGGACTAGCACGGCGACAACGACGACGGAAACGACGACGACGCCAAGACGACGACGACGAGGGACGAGGGAGGACGGCGACGACGACGACGACGCAAGAGCGCGCGCGCACGCTTTTTATTGAAAATCCGTGTTGCGAAACCTTTTTTGTGTATGTTTTTGTTGGAAGCTCGGTTTTGAAATCTCTCCGATACGGAAGGTTTTTTGATGGATCCCGGCATGCGCGCGCGACGACGCGCGCGTGCGCATTTCGTCTTTGTTTTGCAAAGGATTCTCGCGACGGCACGCGCGCAAGGGCTTTCGAAAGATTTCGACATGCGCGCGCGCGAAGCCCGTTTGGTAGTATCGGTGTTTGAAAATCTTGAAAAATCGACGTTCGTCGTAAGATTTCGCGAGAGCGCGCGCGCAAGATTTGTTTGAAAAGCAGCGTTGGAAAACCATGTTCGAAATCCTTCCGAAGCCGAAGGTTGTTGAATGATTTCGGCGTGCGCTCTTCGTCAAAGTTTTCGCAAGGGGTTCTTGCAAACTGATGGTCTTTGATCAACGACAGCGCGAGCATAGCATTTGTTGCATAGGATGGCGGGGGGGGGGGGGCGATACCGGATTGGCTGGGATAGTATGCGGTCGCAGCTAGGATGGACGATGGGGCAGACTTGTATGCAAATTGCAATACGAAAGGTGACCAGTGAACTGCGGGGGGTATTTTTCTTTTGGAAAGGTGAATTGACCACACTGCACCGCGCGTGACCACCTCCCATGCTCGGGCAAGCATCCCACCCTCCCACCCGCAACCTGGCCGGCAACACCCGTGGTGGGACAGCGCCTGCGGGCTCGATGAGCCCCCGAGTTGCCTGGCCGCGCCGCGCACGCAGGAGGAGCCCCTGCTGCACGACGTGCGGGTAAGATCCTGGCGGCCCCGAAACGCCCCCCGGAAAAGCGGCCCCTGCGAGCCTGCTCGCTGGGCCTGTCCGCGCGGTGGTCTCCTCCTCCTCCTCCTCCTCCTCCTCCTCCTCATCCTCCTCCTCCTCCTCCTCCTCCTCCTCCTCCTCCTGCTCCACCTCCACCTCCACCTCCACCTCCACCTGCTCCTCCTCCT